ATTATCAGGTCAAAAGCCTAATTAATTGAGACACACACCTGATTTTGCGGTTTCTTCTCCTCTTCATTTTTGACCCCAGTCCTCACCTCGTTGGCCGCCGTAAAGTATTTACCAGCCGGGTTGTCGGACGCCGTCCTGCCCTCAGCAGTGGCTCTTCTCAGTTTCTCACAGCCGCAGCCTCTGGCTTCTCCCGTGGAGACGGGTTCCTGCTCCCGCTCGCATGAATCCTGAAGACAAAAAGCCTCGTTCACAAAACCAGCGGCGAAAAGTATGAGAAAACAGCGAACCATTCTGAACTATCACGGGTCAGGARCCGCTCATGTTGTTGTCGGAACTTGACTTCCGCAAAAGTCACGTGAGAAGTCAGCTGGTCGAGTTRAAACATATTCAAGGTTTGCCGGCGCGTGACCCGGCTAGAGGKGATGATGAGCGGCAAGGGAGGAGTTTATCCTTGAAACCAAACGAAGCGGTWGTCCACATGAAACTCCGCCTACTCAGTTCTCCGGTACGTGCGCCGGTGTTTAAGCTGTGTGAACCCACAATTTACTGCCGAACGGGGATTTGTGTATTTTTCTTCAGATAGTCATATCACAATGCTGTAAGTCTTAAAAGTATAGCTGCTACGTTTTTTCTATTTAAACTACAGGAAATATTTAAAAAAATATTCTCACTTTAACTAAACATATTCTTTTTTAATTACTTTTACTCAAATAAACTTTTTGACACTATAAAGTCGTAAAAGGAGTGATACAGTTCGAGGTAAGATGAAGGCACAGGGACAGCATTTCCCAGCTACCAACACTACAACCGCCTGAAAAGGAGAAGAAGAAGAAGAAGAAGAAGAAGAGTTGGCAGAGAGCCAGGCAGCTCGACCAGCCAGTGCCTGCTGCCCGCCCGCCTGCTTCTGGGAAAGTATCCGCGGAAAGCTGTCAAAAACCGGATTATCTGAGCCGCTGACGGCTGGACGTTCCCCTCGGCCCGGCGGCGAGGAAACCAGAGTCATGCCGTCTCCCGTAGTCCGGAGAAAGATGAACATTTGAGCGGTACGACAGCCGAGGAGGACGAGGTAAACTGGAACGCACAACTCACACAGTTTTTACTATTTTCCTATTCTTTATCAGCGGAGATAAAAAGGATTGACTTCTCCTTACATGGGTATCAGAACATCACAGCTGCAAACATGCGCTTGTAAAAGTCATCTTTTTAGACATGAAGTAATGAAATTGGGGGTGCAGCTKAGAGATGTATAGATTGGTAAAACTTTCTAAAAGGGGCCAGTTGGATAAACAATCACACCGAGTGATATGCGCGCTTAGGCTCAAATGAAAGTCTGCCTGTTCACTGAGCTGGAAAACATTATTTTGTAAGAGACTTTCGTCTGATGGGACAGTGCTTGTGGATGGAGCTTTACATGTCAGCCTCAGGTTGTGGTGATGAAGATGATGATGACCTGCTGCAGGTGCAGAAAGCCTTCCTGCTCCCAGTCACTGAAGCCACTCATCAGTAAACAGAGGATTTTCAGTTCCTGCCGCTTCTATGCAAATCCATGCAGGGCTCTTCAAACKGTTGCTGTTGCACTTTTCAGTTCAGTTTACAACAAACCCTAACCCCAGGGCACTGTAACAAAATGTAACAAAAATAACAGGTCTAAATTCAGTGTAAAACACCCCCGGATTCACATCTTATTACAGCAAATTTAATCCACATATAGAGTTAACATATCCTAATCAAAAAACAATACAAAGTTGACTTGCATTTAAATACAAGTTAACTTTACAGCTACCTGCAAATAACCAATAACGTGTTTTAGGAGTGTCTTGAAAGAGACAATGTTATCAAGGGAGCACAGATTAAATGGGAGTTCATTCCAGAGCCTAGGGGCCACAGAGGAGAAAGCACGGTCAATACATCGATCTATATCAATATATTGATTTGAATGGTTCATGATTCAGTTATATCGATGCAAAAATGAAAATATCGATCTATATCGTTATTATATTCTTGATGTGAATCAGTTTCATAATATGTCCATCTAACRCAGTCATTGCKTTAGAAGAGCACATGAAATCACATTATATCGATCGCAGACATGTAAATTGAAYTGAATCAAAATCATATCRTGATAGACATTGTGATATTGAGAAATATCAAATCATCATCCAAACATATCGATGTAATATCATATTGTTATAAAGCTGGTGATTTACACCCCTAACGTGTTGCAAGTCRTGAGAAATAATTATTAGTATTGGGTTGACTGGTTCATCCTGTAACTGGTGGTTCAAACTCGTCCGTCTCAGCTGTTGTGTTCGTACAAGACWCTATGGTATTCCTAAAACAAAAAATTGGATGTTTCTTTAACTTTTGAGGGATGTCAAACTGTTTAGGCTCATGCTTGACACAATAAGAGTGACTACACTGAGTTTTTATTGTGTGTGTGTTCCTCCTACCCTCCTTAGGTGCTCTCCAGTTTGTGCCAAACATGTCGGATAAGATGTCCAGCTTTTTGCATATCGGGGACATCTGCTCCCTGTACGCRGAGGGATCCACCAATGGCTTCATCAGTACCTTGGGGTATGTCTCTCAAAGGGGCCACACGGTCTGGGCAGGGTCTTCTTCTAACACTTTTGTGATGTCTCTTTGCATCAAATGTTCAGTTTTTCAAAACTGTTAGCAGGTTCGCAAAAACTTACTGTTAAAGCATTCCCTTCTTCTTCTGTGAGTCGAATAATTGTGATGCATCGAATGAACTTTTTGTATGTGATGCAGATATCTGTCGTAGAAATTCATCATTTAGTTTCTAAATGAAAAGCTATCTTGAATTTGTGGTTAGAATATGTAATAACGATATTACTAAACTATTATTACACATTAATGGTCTGTATTTGTTCCGTTTCCCTCCCTAAAAGTAAATCAGCTCATAGAAATTAGCTTTGAAGTTTGTCCAGTTTGATTTCCAGTGCAGCAACATCAGGAGGCGTGTTTTGTTTCTAGCATCAATAATGGAATCAGGGCTTTCAGCTCAGCATCCTGAGTCCMCGCCCCCTTTCGGTTCATTAAAAATGGAATGATCCATAACAAACACTGAGTCATTTGAAAGACTTTGTGGCCTTTCTTGAATTCCAGCACCTCCCACGTAGCCACAAACACGCTCTAAAGTACACACATTTACAAAAATTGTCATGAGCGTTTTGGCCAAAAGCCACCCACTCTGTACATAAAACCAACTCAGCTGCATTCTCCACATTGTCTGCCTTCGAGGAAACACAATACTGAGAGGAGAGAAAGCTCCGTGAGCATTAGCGCTTCTCCGTCAGAGCAGCAGCACAATATGTAAAAACTACAGACAGGACTCTGTGAGGAAGATTCGAAGTTTTTAACATGCGCCTTTAGCAGGAAAGATGCTGTTTGTTCACAGGTGGAGCTGCTCGTTGTCAATAACTAACCACCTGAGTGGTGTTCGAGTTACACACGAGTCCTGCCCACCAAACACACGTTCTTCACTCTGTATCTGTGTTCCAGCCTTCTTTATTGACTTTGCAAAGGCTGGAGGTTAGATTGTTCTGTTGCATGATTTAGACCATTTTGCTGAAAAAAAGAACTGAAATAGACGTGGGATTTGGCCTCTGTCCCAGGAAGTGTTATTACAAACCAGTAAAAGTTTAATTTGTCACATCATACTCATCCTGCCCACTGGTGATCCAGCAGAAAATCTCCTTATTTTTGTTGATACAAGAAGAAAAAATGGGGGGTTTATCCACAGCGCTGACAAATTCTGTGTTTTGGGTCAATAAACCTTCATTTATTATGAGAGAGCATTGAAAATGATGCAATGATTTCTATATTTTGAAGTGTGGAAAAACCATGAACAATTAATGCCTTACGTGTTGTAGCTAGCTCTTTGAATGTCCTCAGTTTAAAGAAAGGAACGGACTATCGAGCTAACAGTTAGTGATAAAAAGCATTGTGTAAGTGTGGGTGAATGAGTCGGTAAGAAATATTCAGGAGGTTTCATACCGAGGACAGCAGCTTGTTATCATTAGTGGTTCATGTGAACCCACAGTTTTACAAAACACATGTGAGGTGGAACCGGGTTGTGCAATACGATAGTAAAATAATTCACTGTCATATTCATAAAATATGTTCTGCTGAACCAWTTTTTGAAACTGGAGTTGTTTTCAAATTAAATTAAATTAAAATCTGATCTGTTCGCTCATCTCCTCCATCAGAACCTCTGACCGATTCTCTAAACCAGCAGTGTCCAAGCCCRGTCCTCAAGGCACACTGCCCTGCATGTTTCAGATGTTTCCCTGCTTCAACACAGCTGATTTCAATTGATAACTGATGAAAAKACTTTTTTAACTGCAATCATCTGAATCAGGTGCTTTAAAGCAGCGAAACATGCAGGGCAGTGTGCCTTGAGGACCAGACTTGGGAAACACTGCTCTAAACCAACAGTGTCCAATCCTGGTCCTCAAGGGGCCACTATCCTGTATGTCTTACTTGTTTCTCTGCTCCAACACACCTGTTTCWATTATTAAATTRCCTCTTCAAGTTCTGCAAAAGCCTGGTAATCACCCATGCATTCAAGCAAGATGTGTTGGAGCAGTGAGACACAAACATGCAGGATAGTGGTCCTCAGGGASCAGGATTGGACATCATTGCTTTAAAATGAGATAACTCTGTTTGCTGCAGGTAATATACTAACCGCTAAGACCAACTTCTCAAAACTCCAGTCCAAATTAAATCTGAAATATCCTTTTAGGAAAAAAGAGAACTAAATGATGATTAAACACTCTTGATTATTGCTGTAAATGTTAGCGGTTTCAACTGGGGAATCAAAAATTTATTCTTGGCATCAAGAGTCAGTTTTTGTATTATTATTATGCAACTTTATTTTTAAAAGCAGGGAAATGGTGTAAGTTTCTAAAACAACCAAAAAAAAAAAGAAGATCTGAAACAGTTATGGTTTATGGTGAGTGGGGATGGATAGAGAAACCATGTGAGAAGGTGGTTGTTGAGCAGGTTGTGCCCAGTTAGGACTCCAACCAGTGTACTTAAAGTTTTCC